CCCCCATTTGACCTTCAACAAAGTTTAACCCTTAAAAGCCGAAATTGGCTAGCGTTCCACACTTTGCTCCATCCTCCCCACGAATCGTCGAAGGCAATTCAAGAATGTGTGTGTTACAAAAATGAATGAAATTAGAATAATCGTCACGATGCAATTAATAATATCAACATTATTATTATCAGGCACTTGAACATACAAAAAGTTAACACAACTTTTAATAAATAATCAACGCAAACGGATGAACAATCATTCTGAATAAAATGGAAAAATACAAACGTACAAAAGAACTTGTGTTTACGGCAGTGTCTCAACATTACAAGGATTATTAATAAGGCAAAATTGAATAGTGATGATGCTTATCGAGTGAGAAAAGGTGTTAGAGGTATTTCCAATGTGCAATGAAGTAGTTTCATTAGTTGAATATTAATTTTCTGCCCAAGCATTTGATCTTTTTAATGATAAATAACATGATGCCAGTGAATGCAGTGCAGAGAAACAGCGTCTCGATGACAATACTCACGCTCTGTGCAGTCTTTTCCTTCTGAAATGTGAAAAATAGAGAAAATGGAAATTCATGAGCGAAGCCACTAGATAAAACTGGGGGCAAATGGGGAGTGTCAAGACAGGTCGAGTAGCGAAGGGTCACGAGTAGGTTTCACATTTTTGTAAATATGCGTTTTGTCTCCAAAGATTGACAAGTCATCGAGACTCGCCGCGTGGAAAATCAGAGGAATTTTTAGGACCTATAAAATGGCTTTTTGCTCGTGTCTCTGCGACTTCGTTGAGATAAACTGAAACTGTCATTGTTAGAGGCATTGAGAGGTGAATTTCCAATTGTTTTTAATTTAGGCCCAGGTGTACTATCTTTCGAACGTTATCGATGTTTTTTTTTTCATCTTTCGTCATCTGAAATTGTCAACTGAGTTCTGCATCATGCAGAAGTTTTGGAAAATTATGAATAAATAATTTAAAAAAGTAGAAGAAATTCTTAATTGTTTCAAAGAGGATTTTTTATTTATATTCAGAATAAGTTGAATAACAAGAAATTGAAAAATGTATCTGATTTACGGTGACAAATGGCAGCCTGTCACCCAAAATCATGCAGGGGGAAGACTGATTTCGTAAATCTTCTCCCACACTGCACAGAGACATTTATTACGAAAAAGGCTCTTTGAAAAAAGTTGTAATATTTTGGAGAATTTTTTAATCACACTTTTATCACATAAAAATGGCAGATGACTACATACCACTGTTTTGAAAATTGAGATACCTAACTGTCATTGCCCATGAGAGTTAGTGTTTTGTTATCCACCATGGAAAATGACAGCTAATAGATAATTTGCCACAGCGAATCATATATTTGTAATTTCCATTTTTTTCAACTCATTCGAAACCTCAATTAAAAATGCTCTTTGAAAAAGTTCAGAATTTTTTCTATTTTTTAAAATCATTCTATCATAATTTTTGGGAACTTCTACATGACGTACTACTCAATTGACAATTTTGGATTACGAAAGATAAAAAAATCCAGATAACATTCGAAAGATAGTACACCCGGGGGTTAATTAACTATATTTGCGGTCATTTTCAGAAATGCATATTTTTGATATGTTAATCAGCGCAATTTTCTGAACACCCCAGTATTTATTGTTTCGACAGAAATTTTATTTTCGTGTTTTCATGGACAAACGGGCTCGATTGACTGTATTATTACAGTTCTCGAGACATTATCATTTGCTTAAGGGATAGACTACTATTAGTTTTAATCGTCGCGGGCGATTGGCGTGAGATTTCTCATCCATTGAAGATCGATTATATTTATCCAAAAACGAATAATTAGTGCAAAAAATTGAGTGTTTTTGTTACATGAGATATTCCGGGCATTACTCCACCACAAAATTTCGATAACGAGAGCTGAGATGATAACACATCGAAAATAATAATACTTGAACATTTAGATGTTCAGATAAATAAATATGTGTCAGATATTAAAAATAAAAATAAATGTGTCTGAAATTAGAAATTGTTTTTCTCAGTTTGGGAATCGCTGACCATTTGCTACGTAATCGACGAAAAACTGTAAAAATTCATGAACCATCACCAGGGGAGCAAGCTCGCAAGCTTTGGAGCAGTCTAAACTCAATGCTCAAAGAGATATCTGAATGTTTGAACAATACTTGAGATTTCTGACTTGATTGTTGACGTGTATGAGTTACCTGAATGTCTTCTTTATTCACTGATTCCTCCTCAAATCGAAACAGAAGGTCCTCGCACTTGTGTTTCTCCTCCTCCAGCTGCGATTGGAGACTATTCTTCTCCTCGAGGAGCTGGGAAAGGGCTGCCTGGGCGTCGATGACGGTCTTCTCCATTTCGTCTCGGTACTGATCATGGAAAAAACAATACATCACAAGTTCTAGGAGAATTTATTGAAACTGGAAGACCGCAGCAAAATTAAACATGGGGAAAAAGGACTACTTGGCGCAATTGAGGAAACGTTTTTTTGTGTTCTTAGTTGAAGGTCAAATGGTCTCGAGGGTCAAACGCCGTCTTCAAGGGTTATTTGACCCCCAAAACTGTTAACCCTCAACTAAAAACAAAGATGCAGTTTCCTGGTTTCATCTTGTTTTTAGTTGAGGGTCAAACGACCCTTAATGACGTTCGGTTCTGAGGATCAAACGATCGTGAAGGTCAAATGACCCTTAATGACGTTCGGAGTTGAGAGTCAACTTTTCTAAAGTGGCAAAGGACCCTTGAAGACGTAGGATTGAGGGCCAAATGACCCTTTCCGATCACTTGCTCTAACCCGTTGACCCCTTAAGGCCATTTGACCCTTAACCCTGAGCATTCTTAAGGGTCGTTAGACCCTCGAGGTCCTCAACCCCAAACGCCTCTAAGGGCCGTTTGACCCTCAAAATTATTTGGGTCTGCACAAAAAATAAAAAAGGAAGAGTTGCATGACTTATTTTTGTTTTTGGTTGAGGGTCAAAAGACCCTTAATGACACTCGGGGCTGTGGGTTAAGTAGTCGTGACGGTCAAACGGCCCTTAAGGATGGTTGTAGGTGAGGGTTAAATCGTCGTAATGTTGAAACGACCCTGGAAGTCATGTAGAGTTAAGGGTCAAAAGATCCTTCTGATCACTTGCTCTAACCCGTTGAACTTTTGAGACCCTTACTCCAGACCTCCTTAAGGGCCGTTTGACCCTTAACTAAAGACAGAGAAGAAGTTCCCTGACTTTTTGTTCCTGATTGAGGGTCAAGTGGTCTGATTGAGGGTCGAATGACCCTTTCTGATCATTTTCCCCAACCCTTTGGGCCCTTCAAACCCTTCAACTCTTCACCTCAAATATTTATAAGGGTCATTTGACTCTTAAAACCATCTGACCCTCAACTGAAAACATTGTACGTCTTCCTCAAGATGCAGAATTCAAATTCTAAAGAACGATTCAACCATCCATGAATCGAATAGGTAAATCGAAGATCTACCTTATCATACTCCATCTTCAAATTAATTATCGATTGCTCGGCATTATCTGCCTGTGTAGCAGCCTTGGTGATCCTCTCTCTCTCCAGATCCCTCTCCTTCCTCAGCATCTCAATCTCCTGCTGCTTTTCCTTCAACATTTCCTGAAAATCCCACAGTAAGGCATCCCCTCAGGAAAATTCACACAGAAACAACATCAACCGCATCACCAAAAACCAAAAGCCTCTTTTTGCAAAATGAGTAAAAACAACGAGGAAAATAATAAAAGCAGTCTAGCCCATCCCACTCCTCTGCTCTATCCCAAGTGTTTTCTTTATTTATTTTTTTATTTCAACAGGCAAAATACAAGTACACAAGATACTTAATACTTAAAAATACAACAACAATGAGATAAAATACTTCAGGAGAATAAATATCTACAAAATAATCTACAAAACGAGAGAAATTGAAATGAAGGAATAAGTTCAGTAGTGAAGTGGTCAATCGGTTTAAGTCGACTTAGCACCCAGTCGAATTTTTCTTGAATAACTCGGAGTTTAAGAAAGACAGCGAAATTTTTGTAAGATCTTTTTCGATAGTCTTCATGGTTCTTCACAAAAAAGATTTTCAGGAAAATTTGTCCAACTCTTCACTACTTAACTGAGATTTCTAAAGATATCTCCGAATCTAACAGAGATAATGAAATTTTCGTAATCACTTTTTTTGCAGAGCGAATTGAGGGCTGCGAAAAAGATTATAACAAAAATTTTACCACCTCCCTTAGATATCGAGATATTCATTGAAAACCGACCAACAGTCAAAAACGACTTGAACTGATTGTTAAATTTATCATGCGCAATTCGAGTACTATGTGCAATTCAAGAAGATCACAAAAACCATAAAACTCGGCAATGTGTGGATCACTATTTCGAGGAATTTCATTCTCTACAAAAAAATCTCGCAATATGATCCGTTCTTTTACTTCTCTTCTACTTCGCCTTATTTCCTCAATTCATGGCACTAAAACCCCTTAAAAACCAAAATGAACATGTCCATTCAACTAGAAAAAGTGTTAGTATCTCACCTGGAGAGAACTCTGTCCAGGTGTGGACGCCCTCACCCTCTGGAATAGCAAATTACATTTTTAAAAAATTCCTATCAGTTTATTTGCCCTAGATTCAGCATTCAACGAGTAATTAATTCAGGGAGAGGTACAACAATGACTGATGATGAAAAGTACTAGAACTCCTCTGGCGGCGGTGGAGAGTCCTCATTCCGCGAATCTTACCCTGGCGGTGGTGACTCCTCTGACACTCGTCGAGGCTGACGTCACGCTGGAGACGGAGGTCAGGGATTCTCGAGATCCGGTTTTACGGAAGGACGAGTTGAGGGAGGCACCGGTGGGCTTGTGCACGACGCAGAGGGACGAGCGCTTGCTGGAGGGCGACCGGGAGACCTTGTGCGACGGGGCGAAGAGGCCGTGCTTCGGCTTGCATTCGAAATACCTGGGGACGGAGTTTTTAGAGAGATGGTGGACTGGTAGCGGATTTCCGGGTTTAAGGGTCAAATGGGAACGAAGTGATCAGAAGAATCAAATTTTTGTGAGGGTCGGATGGGAGCGACAGGCGGAGGGTCGTGAGAGTTAAACGGGAGAGACAAGCAAAGTGATGACTCCGCTCCGTTTGACCCTTCCGATTACTCAGCACATCTCTCCCGTTTAACCCTTCAGAATATTTGACCCTGCGCTTGTCTCTCCCGCCTGACCCTCAAGACTGTGTGATCGTAAAAAACATTTGGCCCTTCATCATTAAGTCCCAGGGGAGAAACGAATGGAGTGATCACTCGATCTTGATCGCCCGGTTGATCCTCTTGAAACTTTTTGTTTCTCCCATTTGACCCTTGAAGAACGGTAGAGAATTTCGTTGTTTGAGGGTCAAATAGGAGAGATGAACGAAGTGATCAAAAGAATAAAATTTTGTTGAGGGTCAAATGGGAGCGACAGGCGGAGGGATCAGGAGAGTCAAACTAGAGTAATCAGACGGGTCAAACGTTAAGGGAAGAGACTAGAGACTCTCCCATTTAACGCTTAAGAATATTTGACCCTCCACCTGTCTCTCTCCTTTGACCCTCTCGACTCTTTTTGTCTCTCCCACTTGACCCTTGAAGAACGGCAAAGAATTTCGTTGTTCGAGGATCACACGAGGTTGAGGGTCAAACGGGAGAGGCGAACGACGCCATCTGAAGAATCAAATTTGCTTGAGGGTCAAATGGGAGAGACAGGCGGAGGGGTCAAGAGGTCATACGGAAGAGACGAGAGAAGTTATGACTCCACTAGTCTGTCCCATTAGACCCCTGAGAACGTTTGACCCTGAACAACATCCTCGTCATCCTCTCCATCAATAAATTAACATCGCTGAAACCTTTTGTCTCCAACCGCTCCATCATTCTTCCCAACGGGCTCGTCCAGCTCGACTCCACACCATTCTCCAGCCGCAAACTCTGTGACCCCGAGGTACCTCAGCACCCCGGTCTTGCTCCCCTGGCTCGACGACACAATAACTCGATCCCCGATCTTCAAATCCCGTGAGGTCGTTGAGGATAAACTCGTCATCGAAACATCTACCAATTTCCATTCATTTATTCAAATCAAAAAACCAGAATTCATGACAATAAATCACTACAATCTACTCTTCAACTAATTCATCAACTGAATCTCCAACTTTTCCCGTTTTTATTTACGAAAAAATACAAAAACAGGGGAAAACAGGGGATTGCTTTTATCTGCGTATAGCATAGCTATTTTTCACGAATAAATTAGTAATATGCTTCCGAATGGTCGTTTTACAGATCATTTCCTCCTATCGCATATCATTTATCGTTCTATATTATTTTGTAGAATTGAATTCAGTAGTGAAGTGGTAAAACGGTACAAGTCAGTTTTGACTATTGACCTGTTTTCAATGAATATCTCGGAATCTCAGGGAGATATCAAAGATTTTGTCATAACCTTTTTTGTAGAGCCGATTGACAGCTACAACAAATGTTAATACGAAAATTTCGCTATCTCCCTTAAAGTCCGAAATATTCTTCAAAAACTCAACTGGGAGATAAGTCGACTAAAACCGGCTTGCCACTTCGCTACTGAATTATCTTTCTTCTTTGATCAATTTTGTCAGATTTCTTGCGAAAATTCTTGTATAAATCAAAATGGGATTGAAAAGACGTTTTTTACGCATAATTGAATGAATTTGAAGAAACCGTCGGAGAATTCACTTTCAAGGAAATTTAGAAAAATTCTGAATTTGCAAAAATCATTATAAAAATCAAACCAACGAATACAGCTGTTGTAATGATCTTCCAACTCGGACATGGTGGCATTGAAATGAATATTTTAAGTCATGATTGAATTAATTTGAAGCTGGTATCCGAAGATATGTCCGGAATTCTCATTTTCAAAAATACGAAATTTTGGAAAATTATTTTATAAATCAAAACAACGATTGTTACTATGGCCTTCCTCGTCGAACTCGGTGAAAGGGACATCGAAACAATTTTTAAAAATCATCATTCAATGAATTCCGAACATTTTTTTTAGTTATCGTGGGGCATGCGATTTAAAAAAAAAAAGAAAATTCCAAAAATTAATTTAGAAATTGAATTTTAATTAATGTCGATGGATGGAGCTCATCAATGCCTACATTTGAAAAAAATTATTGAATTTCCTCGATTTATTAGCAAACAATTGTAAATTCAGACTAAAAAACAACTGAAAATTGCATTTTTCACGTTTTGCATCATAATAATACAAAAAATCCGAAACTTAAATTTGAACCATTACAAAGCTTCCATTCGGAAGCAAAAACATTAATGAATTAAAGAAAACAAAATTGCAGAATCCCAATTCCTTTTATTAAAATTGAAAAATCCTTGTTAATTTTCAGTGATTAAAAAAATCAAATAAAATCGGGGGATTAATTATTGCTATAATTATTATTGTGCAATCGTCAGTATAAACTAGAGTCTAGACTGAAGCTGTGCATCCTCTAAGGGCGACGATAGGAATACTTGTAGCGATCCTTACTCAATGAAGGTGAGACTGTTTTGTTGGCAGGTGGTGTCTTCAGTTCAGGTGGTGACATCAGGCTCTCCTGGAGTGGATACCGGGTCAATCTGGTGAGACGTGAGAATATTCCGTGCTTCGGGGCACATTGGAAGTAGCGAGAGCCAGCCACCGAGCCATCGTTTTTTCCTTCATTCGTTAATTGCAATTAATTAATGACAAAATCGTTAAACTCGTCATAAAGCAGAAAAATGAGATGTTTAAGACGGTTTTTCGTGGATATCTCGGAATCCAGAAGAGATTAGCGAAAATTTTGCAACGACCTTCTTTGTAGAAAATTTCAAAAGCCACAAAAAAGTTTTTTACGGGATTTTTGGTATCTCTCATAGGTTCTGAGATATTCAGCAAAAAATGACTGCAAGTTAATTCTCGTTTCGTCACTTCAGTCGTGATCTTTTTTTCATCAAGTTTGTTGGGATTTGTTGGAAAAACCGGTGGAGATGGAGAAAAATGTTCACGAGACAAAATGTCCAGCATGAAAGGACGAACATTTTGTCTCTAGAAAGTTTTTCTCTAGCTGTGATTCCTCTCGAGATATTGGGAATTTACCGATAGGCTCATCCAGGACAACTCCAGCCCAGTCTCCAGGAGCAAACTGGGTCTCTCCGATGTAGGCGATGGAGCCGGGCTTCGTCCCACCGACCCATACTCGATCTCCAATTATGAAACTGTCGGTGTCTTCCGTCAACACCACACTCGTATCTGTTCAAATCCAAACATCGACCATTGTTCAAGGATTTTTTCCAATGGAAAAAAATTCAAAAGCGAAAATAAAGGGGTTTCGGAGTGTTTTTTGGGGTCCTACCTGATCCTCGACGCAGGTCTCCGGTCTCCTTGCGTCTTACGTTCTCATAAATTGGCTCCATGGAGTCTATCACATGCAAATAAAGCCAAAAAACTAAATAACAAACAATAAACTACACAAGCGTCGGAACTATCCATGAATGATGAAGCCCATTTTCAGGATCATTTCGAAATCTAACGGAGATACCGAAATTTTCGTTAAAACCTTTTTTGTAGCTCTTGAAAATATCCACAAACAAGTGTATAACGAAAATGTCGCCATCTCCCTCCAATCGCAAGATATCCAACTAAAACGATAGCAAGTCAGTTATTCTCGTTTCGCTACTCCAATCCAGCTTCGTTTCATCAACTTCGTTCTGATTTACCGGAAGAACCGTTGGAGACAGAGAAAAATGTTCAGCAGACTAAATGTTTAGGATGATAAAAGGAACATTTTTTATGCCTAAACTTTTTCTCTAGCTGTGATTGTTCCCGAAATATTGCGAATTGTAACATTTCTCTATCTCCCTTCAATTCCAAGATCTCCATCAAAGACTGAAGCTAAACCAGAAGAAATCACAAGAGACAACGTACACTGAGAGAAAAACGACAAAGTTCTTAAATAAGTCTTACTTGTGCCAGGAAAATATTTTTTTGAAAATTATCAAAAAAGTATTTTTTTTGTGCCACACCTGCAGAGAGTGCGCCGGAATGAAAATTTTTTGTCGCAAAAATAGATTTAGTAGTTAAAAAAAAATTGCATTCTCTGTAGACGCAAGAAATGTCATTTCTAGCACTACTCCTTCGTTATTCGATACTCCCATGCGTATTTTGCTCCCGAAAAATCTTTGTTTTATACGAAACAAGGGATAGTAGTTTTTCGTTTCGGCTGTTTAATAATCACAGACAACAAATGAACCCTTAAATGAAACAATAATAATGATATGATAGCAATCTTGTAATTTAGGGATAAAATATTAGTTGATAAATTTTCCTCTATATGAGATATTTTCATCCTGAAAATGCACCGTCTGGTGTGAGTTATCCGCCTCTTGAGCCAAATATTTCGTTGCTGTCGAAAGCAGAACAATTATTCACGTTTGAGACTTTCAAATTGGAACCAAACAAATTATTTTTTGGCAATTTTCAACTAGGGATTTTGTTGGCCCAAACAAGACTTGTTTGACAACGTGTTTGTTTTTCTCTCAGCGTAGAAGCTATGATCATCAAGGTGTCCCTCAAAAACCTACTTCCCCTTCCGCCCCCCACGTTAAATGAACCGCGAATAAAACACTGGAGCAGAGATTATCTGCAAACACAATCGCGAATACGTAACATAAATGAACAACTATTATTAACATATGATTCTCCTGCTTCCTGTTGTCCTTTTTCAACGAAAAACAATCAAATCCCAATGTTTTTACATCACATTACAGTTTTAGATACCGAGGACATGACTCAATGATGTTAATCTCGAGATTCTATCGTGACAATCACCACTAAATATTGTTGTTAATCATTTATTCATGAGACGTGGTTTGTATCACTGCTAATTAATGGTAAGAGAGCGTGGGTGTGGCCGGTACGTGAGGCTTGTAGGTCGACGTGGGCGTCCCTCCTATGTCTTATAACCGAGTTTTTTAAAATTTTCCTTCTCGTTCTGAGGAACGGATCGTTTGGAATGATGAGAACAGGGAACTTGTTGGTCGGGGCGAGGAGGAAGTGGCTGGTCGTTAATTGGGATCGAAATTGTGGGTTTCGATGGCATAATTCGGCCTACCTTGACCTTCTGCGTCAAAATAATATTGTAGTTATAGTGTAGGTGCTACGTAGCTCGGAAATACCAAGGGATTTGCATGAAAATGAATTTGGAATGTTGTTTTGGAGAATAAAGGAATTTCTGGGGGACAGGGTTTTTTGCATTACTGATACCTTTGGAGGGAATGATGTAATTTGGATTAATCTGGGCTCATTTTCAAGCTCTATTTGCCATCTTGGAAATGAAAAAAAAAACTGTTGAATTTCACTCTGTCAGTGCCAAGATATTTGAGATTGAAGGGGGGGATTTTCGCTTAATTTAGTTTTTCGTATAAGGAACTTCTTGTTCAGGGGCAGGAAGTGTCTGGGCCCTAAATTGTGGGTTTCGATGGCATAATTTGGTCTACCTTGACCTTCTGTGTCAGAATAATATTGTAGTTATGGTGTAGGTGCTACGTAGCTCGGAAATACCAGGGGATTTGCATGAAAATTAATTTCGAATGTTGTTTTGGAGAAAAAAGGAATTTCTGGGGGACAGGGTTTTTGAAATTACTGATATCTTTTGAGGGAATGATTAAATTTGGATTAATCTGGGCTTATTTTCAAGCTCTGTTCTCCAGCTTGGAAATGAAAAAAAAAATCAAATTTCACCCTACTGATGTCGAGATAATTTCATAATTACCAAGACATGAAAACTCTATTTTATTTCAAATTTGGGACTCACCCAAAATTTAATTCTAAAGATGCTCAATTATCTCATAAACACTTGATTTTAGAAGAAAAAGTCATAAGACCGTTTTTGTAGAGGATTAAATTGCCCGAAAAAAGTATTCGCAGCATTTTTCTCTAAAACCACTCAGTACCGAGTAAAAAAAACGGAAAAATCTATTCTGCTTTTTCTTTGAAATGCTCATGAAATTGGAGTTTTAAAGAATTCCATTTTTGTTGTTATTGGCTGCATCTATGAGAAATTGTGAAAAGATATTTTTTGTAGAGAATTAAATTTAATACAAAAATTATGCATAACATTTTCCTCTAGAACCCGTCATTTCCAAGATAATTAAATATTTATCTTCAATCTGTCCCTTCAGTTATTTTTTCTCATTCTGTCATTCTTTTTTATTCATCCGCTGGGCCTCCCTATATGGAACGGACGACTTCAGGTTCACACACGGGAGTAAAGGAATCAGCAATGCATTTTTGCGAAATACAAACTAAGAGTTACGTCAACCGCAAGAAATAAATCGTTTTATGCAGAAATTTTTCTTTTATCGTTCTTTTTTCCTTTACCAATGGATTAAAATCGACTATTAATAATCCTCGTGACATTCGTGTATCAACAGGCAATAAATAATTCAGGAATTATCGAAAACATGTGGGACAAATTGATACGACGAAGAATTATCTACTGATGTGACAGGAATTCTTTATCAATTTCTTCGGATTTTTTTTCATCTTGCACTGAGAGAAAAACGACAAAGTTCTGAAGCAAGTCTTACTTGTGCCGAGAAAATCTTTTTTTGAAAATTATCAAAAATGGATTTTTTTGTACCAAACATGCAGAGAGTGCGCCGGAATGAAAAATTTTTGTTCCAAAAATAGATTTAGTAGTTGACAAAAAATTACATTCTCTGTACACGTAAGAAATGTCATTTCTAGCACTACTCCTTCGTTATTCGATACTCCCATATGTATTTTGCTCCCGAAAAATCTTTGTTTTATGCAAAACAAGGAATAGTAGTTTTTCGTTTCGGCTGTCTAATGAACCCTTAAATGAACCAATAATAACGATATGATAGGAATCTTGTAACTTAGGGATAAAATATTAGTTGATAAATTTTCCTCTATATGAGATATTTTCATCCTGAAAACACACCGTCTGGTGTGAATTATTCGCCTCTTGAGCCAAATATTTCGGTGCTGTCGAAAGCAGAACAATTATTCATGTTTGAGACTTTCAAATTCGAACCAAACAAATTCTTTTTTGGCAATTTTCAACTAGCGATTTTGTTGGCCCAAACAAGACTTGTTTGACAACGTGTTTGTTTTTCTCTCAGTGTGGGATTTAAATTTCCTCTTCTGCATTTTCTCTGTTGCTTGGGGTTTTTTTTATTGTTTGTGTTTGTGATGTTAATACCTCCTCCCACAGCCTCTCGTGTAACTCAAGACAACAATGAAATTAAATTCCAGAAGGAATCCATAAAAATGGAAAACACGTTCTACTATCGGTTTCTCTCCCCCGATCCAACGGTATTCATTGATCTTTTTAAATGTTATGTTCGCTTTTTTATGGGAATTGTCGAGTGGAGAGACAGGTTGTTAAGGTCGTGTGGACCGGATTTCGATTTCCATAAATGAAGAGACAATTAAATGATTTGGGTCAAGAACACATGACATTTTCGTCGTTAAGTATCGATAAATGAGTGATAATGAGTCAAAAAATCAGTGAAATAATAAACGAAAAATAGAAATGTCTACTTCCCTCATCGGAGGGAATATCAACACAATTTTTTATGGAAAAATTACAGAAATCACGACTTTTTCAGCGAGGAAACGAAATTGATTAAATTTCATAATCATTTTTTTGTGAATATCTCCGGATTTGGAAGAGATGGGGGAGTTTGTGTGCGGACTTTTTTGTAGAGAATTTAAACATCTTCAAAATAGTTATCAACAAAATTTTCGGTGTCTCTCATAGATTCCGAGATATTTAACAAAAACTAAAAGCTAAATTACTTCGCTATTTGACGTTAACTAATTTTTTTCAATTCATGTCTTGTTAAGAATCTCCAAATCTAATACAGACAGCGAAATTTTCGTCAAGAACTTGTTTGTAGCTCTTCAAATCCCCTATAAAAAAGTTCTTAACAAAAATTCCCCTACCTCCGTTCCCTCTCGAGATATTCCCCAAAAACTCAGGTAACTCCACTTCATCGATTCCACAATTTTTAATTTTTCCGTTTTTCATTAATTAAAAATTGTCTTCCACTCCATAACAATTAATCAGCAAGTATCTCCACTGTCTCAATGAATGAATACTGAAGAAACAGAAGAAATGAGGACGAGTGATTGATGAAAATGACCCGCAATAATCAAGAATAAAACTAATGACAATTGATAAAAAGAAAAATGATTACTCAGTTGCTTGCTAACGTGAAGAGAAACAGCGTTACACTGTTTGAATCGTGATGTCTCATGGCGTTTGTAGGCGTGCAATGATTCTTTTCCCCCCAGATATTTCAGCTCTTTTACTCCCAAATGGTGGGAGCACAACCATTTTCAGAAAGAAGACAGCGCACTTTGTAACATCAATTACTCACCGCTTCAGTGTTTATTTTATTTTGGTGAAGAGTATTGAGTCTAGGGCTCTTCAACTACGTGACAACATGGAAAAACAGACAGGAAAGACAAACAAATGGAAATGAATAAAACATTTACAAACCTGATTACGTGATTTGGTTGGGATTAACGTAATAATTTGAAAACTGTAATAAATTTTAATCTCCACATTTTTGTTTGTTTTCGCGTTTAACGAAGAAAGGAGAGGATCTAGGGGGAAGGGTCCCCAGATCTTTTTTGTGGAGAATTAAATTTCCTACAAAAATGTGATGTTTTCGTCTAAGATGACACGGTATGGAGATAGCGGGGGAGTTTGTGGGGTTTGGAGAAGAGTTTTTGTTCATCAAATTGAAATTTTGAGGAAATTTAGATTCAGGAATGCTTGGTTTTCTGGATGGGGAGTGATTTTTGGGGAAAATGTCATAAGAGATTTTTTACGGAGAATTGAATTTTCTATAAAAGTTACTTCTGACATTTTCCTCTAAAATCACTCATTACTGAGATAACTGAATATAATTTTTCATTACACTCACATGCTGCTGTATAAACTGGTTAAGTTTCGAGCAATAAAATATAACAAAAAAAAGATAATTGAAAAATTAACAAAAAAGTCAAATTTAAATTACTGCGTTTTTCTGCCTTGACTCATCTTATTAAGAACGCAATCATCTCCCTAACGAGTGATTCTAGGAGAAAATGCCATAAGATATTTTTTGTGGGAAACCAAATTTCTCACAAAAATTACTTATGACATTTTTCTCTAAACCCACTGACAACCCAGATAATTAAACATAAACAAGCAGCGCGACAGAAGCCGCATGACAGATTACATGACTGCTACTCTCCACGTATTTTTTTTTTCTGATATTTTCGTTTCTACCAATTTCATATGAAGCTGAAACTAGCGGAATATTCGTCAGCGGAAAATTCAATTTAGGGGATATTTAAGTGTAAGAGAGTCAAATAATCATATGTACAATGTTTTTTAAGTGCGAAAGAGTTTGTACATTACTTAAAAATATTTGTACACCCCTAGATTTGCCGAAGACAAATTTTCTGCAATCAAATTTTTCGCTAGTTTCAGCTTCATTTTAAACACATAATTTCTTCACGTTCCATGATATTTCCGAACATTTCCACCCAAAATTAACGGGAGACTACTATGAGTTTTAAAAGTCGTGGGTTATTGAAGTGAGACTTTTCATACGTTGAAGATCGATTATACATATAGATCTGAAAATGAATAATTAGTGCAAAAAAAAATTTTTTATTGTTCGTTTGACCGAAAACGCTTAAAATGCCAAAAACAGTCCAGGGCCTCCAATTTTTGAGTTACGTTTTTTTTTCAAAATTTTCGGAAAAATATGTGGAATTACAATTACGAGCTGTTTTTTTTAATTCACCTCTTACATGGCTACATTTGCTTTTTTTGGATTTTTTTACACAAATAGTGAATTTTTTTATATGAAGAAAACCGAAATCAGCCAAGTAGGAGTCGAATTCCAAAAAACTGGCACGTAATTGTTGTTCCACACATTTTTCCGAAAATTTTGGAAAAAAAAATTCTTTTGTAGCTCAAACATTGGAGGCCCTGGACTGTTTTTAGCATTTTAAGCGTTTTCGAACAAACGAACAATGAAAAAAACTTTTTTTGCACTAATTATTCGTTTTCAGATTTATATAATCGATCTTCAACGTATGAAAAATCTCACTCCAATAATCCACGACTTTTGAACTTAGTAGTAGTCTCCCCTTAAAAAATTTAATAGAAAAACCTATCGAATTCGTTAGAAAATTCTATTGAATTTCTATTGAACTGTTCTATTAGTTTTTGGCCAATTCTATTGAAATGTTCAATAGAAAATATTCAGTAGAAAAAGTCAATAGAATTCAATTTTTCTATATAAATTATTCTTTTGAGATATTGTCTACAGAATTTCCTCGGCTCAAATTTTTTGTTTGATTTTCTTGATGAGAAGAAAAGAAAAATAGAGTGAAAAACAATTAAAAAATTTGAGTCGAGCAAATTCTATAGAAAATATATGAAAAGAATAAGTTATATAGAAAAATCGAATTCTGTTGACTTTTTCTATTGAATGTTTTCTATTTTACATGTCAATAGAATCAACCAAAAACTAATAGAAAGTTTAATAGAAATTCAATAGAATTTTCTAACGAATTCGATAGGTTTCTCTACTAAATTTTTTCATGCGTGAAAGCCTCCATCGTAAGCAAAAAGGACAACACAAAACAGTTTTTCAAGAAAAATTCGAAAACATTCTCAAAAAAACTTTGGAAATAAAAGTCGAATATAAAAATGATGAATGCACTCACTCATTGATGATCTTGGAGGTGAAGGTGGTACCGCAGGCTTGGGCTCGACAGTGCAGCATGGCCTGCCGATCTTGGAAGGTGGCCGGAGGCCTGATGCCTTCGTATCCGACATTTCTCACTCACTTCTTCAATTGCACTTCCTCTATTATTATTATGAACACTGGATCACTATTGCGCAACACAATCACTGATCAAGGGGGCTGGGTATTGTTGGGTGTGTTTTCTGATCACACCGGCAACAGACAATACCCCATATTCTAATTACTGGACAGTCAGTCATTAATTACTCGAGATAATTATTCGAGAAAAAAAAATTAACGAAGTATTCTAGTCTGAAGCTTCGGCTGTTCTTTAAGAAGACAAGTACTTCATCTAAATTGATTAAAAATGTTTTGATTCTATTGAAATTCTATTAAATTCTATTGATTAATTCTGTTAAAATTTTAACTGTAGAATTTGTTTGTGAATGGAAAAAAATTATAGAATCATTGAAAAAAAGAATTCACGATTTTTTTGTCATTTTCTGTAAATTTATTTGGATTAATTAATAATTCACTATTCAAGATAATTATCTCGGATAAATTGTATTCAAAGAACAAAATAAAAAATATTATATTCTAAAACTCCACATTTTCTCTAACAGAACAAATAATTTATGTGAATTAATTGAAACATTTAATTTGAATTAAAATCCATATCAATTTATCAATAATTATCTTTATTCAATAATTTTCAATTCCAAAATTCCCTTATGAGCGGAAAAAAAATTATGAAATCATTGAAAAAAAAAGAAGAATTCACGATTTCTTTTTGTCATCTTGTATGGATTATTTTGGATTAACTAATTCGATTTGTGGCAATTTTAATTAGTTATCCCATATTCTAATTACTGGGTGATCAATAATTAATTATTCAAGATAGTTATCTCAAATGAATTAAACCCAAAGGCCAAAATCGAAAATATTCGAGTCTAGAGCTTCAACTACTCCCTAAAAAGCCGAATAATTCATGTGAATTAATTAAAAACATTCAATATCAATTAAAATCCATAACAAATCACCAATAATTACGTTGATCCAATAATTTACAATTCCAGAATTTGCTTATGAACGTAAAAAATCACGGAATCATCGAAAAACAGAAGAACGCACTTTTCTTCATTTTTTCTGGATTAATTTGCGATTAATTGGGGTTAACTAATTTAATTGGAGGCAAATTTGTTGTTTAATTAGTTCAATTGCTTATTTTGGGGATTGATGAGAGTTATTTTGTTTTTTTGGAGGTTATATGATGGCTTTGAGAAGAGAATAGAGTGGGAAAGGAGCACTATATGACACTTTACTCACGGTTTTGATGCTGTTCACGTGTCGTGCGGTTTTATTTAATTATCAAGGGGAATTAGGGGAACCTGAGAGGTTTTCGCACGAGTTGAGGTAATGGGAATACAAAAAAATAGAGGACATAACGGAGAATGCAACAAAACTGACGTGGAATTTTGTAGCAGCGCGGGAGAGACTGACGTTCGATGATCAGGGGGATTTCTTTTTTATCGAGCTCAATGAAGTGAAGTTGAAGTGGAGTTTTCAGGGGATATCTCCGGATCTAGGGAAGATGGGGGAATTCTTGTTGGAAATTTTTTTGTAGAAAATTTCAAGGGCTACAAAAAAGGTTCAGATGATTATTCCGCTATGTACGGTAGATTCCGAGATATTCGGCAACAATTGACTGGTTTTGTTTCATCCACGCTACTTCGAATCCTGATGGTTTCTTTCTTTTATGTTTAATATCTCAGAAACAATTATAGATAGAAAAAAATATCATAGGTAAAAAATATTCATCTTCTTGCGCTGAACATTTTTTTTTTACTTGAGATTTTTCGATATCTCCAACTGTTCTCCCAATAAATCCTACTGAAATTTATGAAAAGATAACGAATGAAGTGGGAAAAACGAGAAAAACCGAATTTCTTATCAGTTCTTGAGTAATATCTCGGAACTGAAGGGAAATAGCGACATTTTCATTGCAACCTTTTTTTGTTGCCCTTGAAATTCTCTATAAAAAAGGTAATACCAAAAATTCCTCTACTTCCTGTAGATTCCAAGATATCCAGCAAAAACTGAAGTCTCAGCAAAATTAGCAGCGTTGAGCAGCATCTCAAACAAGCAACAATGGAAACAACTCTCCAGGAAGTTACTCAACAGCAGCAAAAAAAAGAATCACCAATGAATGTGCAATTGTAATTGAAAATACAGTTCAAGCAAACTATGAAGAATACATGCTAGCCCTCCTCCCGCTAATACCAGGTGTCAGAATCCACACGTACAAACCGTCGACAACTAATCGATTAATAGTCTGGCTAGATAGTAAACAAACAGTAGACACTCTCCTTGCGTCGGGAAAACAAATAGTAGTAGCTCGACAAGTATTGAATATACGCCCATACATTACTAGGAACAAGCGAATCACGTTCTCCCCTGTACTCCCCGGAGTTGAAGATGACGTATTAATAGCCGAATTGACGAAAGAGGGTATCAAAACAATGGCTCCAATCACTGATGTACTTGGGGGATTCAAACACAAGGACCTCTGTCACATTAAGCAGACCAAAAGGCAAACGTACATTGATTCCAACGATGTCAGTAAGTTGCCTGACAGATTCCTAGTCGTGTGGAAGGTAATAAGATGTAGGTCTACATTTCCCACGACACAAACACCTGTTACATTTGCAGAAAGGAGGGACACATGGCGAGAAATTGCCCATCCAAACCCATGCAGTTCAACGACGTGACCCCAGCAACAGAACTCCATGATGACATTATATCAAATGAAAACCTTACCATTCCATCTAACCTTCCTCCTAGCGCAGCGAAGGATGATATCAGTGGAAAGGCCCAAGAAGAAGTCATCGATTCTCCAGACTTTCCACCTCTACCCCCCCCCCCAATCAAACACCAGCTCAACCGTTCAAAAAAAATTGGAGGTACCTTCGAGTAAGCTGAACCAAGAGCGGAAGCCAAAAACTTGCCTTTATCGCAGACGAAAACATTAGCATTCCAGATAGCAACGCTGAATTGGCTCTTTTAAAAATCAACAACACATCACCAAATATAAACCTTCTCGTGTGCTATAGACCAAAGGGTCTCCTCACGCAGGAAGGCTGGGATCAGTTAGTGACACATGCCAATGAGAACGAAAATACTCTCTGCATCGGGGATTTCAACGCGCATAATACAGTTTGGAATTGTCGCAGCTCGAACACAAATGGCAGAAGATTCCTGAGAGCAATGAATAATCCCGACCCTCCATTATTTATCCATAATACGAATACGCTGACCCACGTACATCCTCGAGACTTCCAGAGCAAATCGAATATCGACCTGGTGATAAGTACTATGGAGCTGGCTGACAAAATCAATGCCAAAGTCGGTGACGAATTATTCGGCTCCGACCATTATCCACTGCATGTCACTATCAACGTTGAGAGGAGTTACTACTCGAAAAAAAACCTTCAAAATATATACGAAAAGAACTGAATGGGAAAAAGTATTGGAAAAACTGGTTAATGATTATGAAGAATTTTTATCTCACGACTTTGACGCCAGCACATCAGTAGAACAATATTACAAGTTCACACAAGTCATCAAGGAAGCTGTCAAGGAGTACACGCCAAAGAAAAAGGAAAATAAACGGAAAGAGAAAAATAAAAAGACCAAGAAAGAGCGAGAGAATCCATGCAAATGGTGGGACGAAGAGTGTGAGAAGGCAAAACGACTCAGAAGAGCAGCGGAAAGAAAATGGGAGTGCACAAACTCCATTGCAGATCGGACCATTTACAACAAGAGATCGGCTCAGGCGAAGAAACTGTTCAAACGTAAGAAAAAGGAACACTTTCGTGAATTTACACAAAGTATTGACAGTAGAACCAACAAGTCCTTCGTATGGAACACGTGCAAAATTCTAAAAAACAAATGGGTTAAAGTCACACACAATAGCGCAACAGAGAATCTCCAATGGCATGACAAAGTAGAACCAGCGCTCAACAAAATCAGCCCAGCATTTGTTCCAACTGACCCTGAGTACTTTCCCAACTGCCAGGAAAATGAGTTCCTGTCATCCAAGATCAACTTCACTGAATTCAACTACGCCTTGACGTCCAGAAAAACTCACTGCTCCCCAGGAATGGACGGGATCGATTATGTCATCTTGAAGAAGCTACCCATCAAATATCATTTGATACTACTGGACATCTTCAACAATCTATACATGGCGGAAGAATATCCTGAAGAATGGACTCAACATTTTATTCATTTTATCCCCAAAGCAGGAGGAACGGACGTCAGACCGATAGCTCTTGCTCCCTGCATCGCGAAACTCTTCGAGACTATCATCAAGAACAGACTCGACTGGTGGATTGAGCACAATAGCAAGATGAACAATAGCCAAACAGGATTCCGCAAGGGAATTTCATGTCACAATAATCTTGCGAATCTTACCTACACAGTGAACGAAGCCTTGGCTCTTCAGCAACACACATATGCTGCATTTCTAGATGTCAGAGGCGCATTCGATAATGTCAACCCTCAAATTTTGATGGACAAATTGGCAGACATTGGATGTGCTCGAAAAACTCTGAAATTCATACGATTTCTCATCTACCAGCGTTCTATGATGTGCATGAAACGTGAGGAAGGCTCGAGACTAATATCTAAAGGAGTCCCGCAAGGAGGTGTACTAAGCCCGCTCCTGTATTCAATATACGTCTCCAAGATCACCACGGAACTGCCAGATACAGTGAAAGTATCTCAATTCGCTGATGACATCGCCGGCTACACTCACGATCCTGACCCACTCGTCTGCGAATCCACCCTTGTAGGTGCGATTGAAGAAATCAAAACAAAACTGGGAGAACTAGGCCTCGAATTATCTCCCCATAAAACGAAACTACTGCACTTCAACAACAAGAACATTACTCCTGGAAATTCCGAGATCACAGTAGATGGCTGCGTTATACGATCGGAGGCAACCGCCAGATTCCTGGGAATTTGCTTTGATTGGAGACTTTCATTTGGCCAACACATTGAACTCATCCGGCAAAGATGCCTCAAATCTCTCAACATTGTAAAATACCTTAGAGGTACCTGGTGGGGAAGTGATCCTCGCACATTACTACTATTATACAAGAGCTTCGTGAGATCCGCGATGGACTACGGCCTTTTTATCTACTATCCACATCAAATAGAACTCAGAAATAAACTGGAAAGAATTCAATACGAGGCAATCAGCGGCGATGGGATACAGGAGGACCACTCCGACCAATGTCCTACTTGCGGAATCTAAACTACGACTTATTGGGGAAAGAGCAAAATTCCTATGTAAAAATTTCTTCATCAAAACGTCTATCAACACGTCTCTGCAGCTGAACGAAACCATTAATAATCCAGGCCCAAACGGACGCCGAAGCAAGGCAAAGAGGTACAAGAGATTGCTACTTTGGGGAATCGCTGAGATTGCACCGCTAAAATCCAACTTATACGTATATGACCAGTTTAACATATACAGACTCAAATACGAGGATGTAATGACGGCGATGGAAGTGGATCTAGACCCAGGAAGGAACAAGGAGAACGACGATAATAAAAAAACAATACACGACATAATCAATGCTGAGAGTGACACCACGTACTGTATCTATACGGATGGAAGCAAAGTCTCGGGCAACGCATACACAGGAGCTGCTTGCTGCTGTCCGAAACTCAACACTGAAATTATTCGCAGCATCAACCCACAGAGCTCTGTATATTCCGCTGAATGTCTAGCCATCCATGCAGCTGTTGATATAGCCCTACAACATCCAGACAAGAATTATTACATCCTCAGTGACTCCATGAGTGCTCTTCAAACTCTTCAAAGTCCAGAGCTGTCCATACGAGAAAATGACCATCTACTCCAAGTCCGAGTAAAGTACAACAGATTTCTAAAGAAGAATGACCGCAACAGATTCATAAAGTTCGTCTGGATCCCATCGCACTCCGGGTACGAGGGAAATGAACATGTAGATGGTTTGGCAAAACAGGGGACATCAGCCCCTGACATGGACATCAGAAGAATTCCCTATTCGGACTACAATGAGCTTTTCAAAAGGGAAATGAAGCAAAACACCTTCGACCATCTCGTAGAAACGGCCACCTCAGAGACATACAAAAAAAAAAAGGAGTTGCGTATTTCGAGCAATACTTCTCCAGAAGTGCCAAACCATGGTATGAAAAATTCCCAGACCTCACGAGAGAAGCCATTGTGTGGGTGAACCGAGCCAGGGCTGATCACTACAATCTGAACAGTTCACTGGCTCGAGTTCATATCATTCCAACAACTCCATGCACATGTGGCTATCCAGATCAAGATCTCGATCACGTGCTATGGGACTGTCCCAAATACAACGAGGAGAGGAAAATTCTCCACAGGACACGCAAAAAACTCAACATTAACGCACCAAAAATTCAAGAAATCCTGACGGCCCCATCAAGAAGAGACATCAAAGATATTACAAAATTTTTCAAAAAATGCGAAATTCAGATCTGAAAAGTATTTAACGAAGTCAATTCACACAATGTACATATGTATACAACTCAAATACTTCACATTACTTAAGTTAGTTGCATGTATATACTGTAATACATTATTATGCAGCTGAATGGGCCTGAAAAGAGGGCTCCGAAGCTTTATCAATAAAAAAAAAAAAAAAAAAATTAGCAGCGTTTCATCCCTCCAATAGTTTAGTTTTTGATAAATATCTCGAAATCTAAAAGAGGTGGCGAAATTTTTGTGAAAACCTTTTTGATAGTGAAAATAAAAACCTACATGAAAGGTTCTTACAAGATTTACCCATCTTCATCACATCCAGAGATATTCACTCCTCAAGGACAGTAACTTGAAAATATGAACACCTGCAATGATAATTCGATATTCTAGACACATGTACTTATACGTATACGAATAATTCCATCCAACTATTATATTATTTTTCTTTACTTATGTATATTATTTTTCTTTCTTATTCTGCTGTATAAACGTGTAAAATTTTGAGCAATTAAATATAACAAAAAAAAAGAGATTCATAAAAAATTGAAATCCAAAGAAGTTATTGTTAGACAGGAGACGAGACACGTCAATCTCCTCTCAGAATTCAGTTTTGGTGCAGAAAACATGACGGCTGCGATACACCGGACCATATGCTCAAATTTCCCGAACTCACGAGTGTTACATCACAGTTTAAACAACTGATATGATTTATCAGTGATTTGTTAATAAAGTGCAATAATTGTTAAAGTGAGTGGCCCTGTTTATCAATTATTTTCCATTGTCAACGGAATTCTAACCTTAACATCGAAAAAATAACCCCCAAAACTCCCAGAAACTAATATTATATTTTACTGAAAAGAATTATTATTATTTGAAATAATTAATTTTTCAGTTTTATAATTATTATATTATTACTATTATTATTAGTATTATTCGGATTATTACAATTACAGGTATATGTACTGTATATCGCCCCCGTCCTAATAACGGCACATAACATTAAAAATTATTATTATATTTTACTGAAAACCATTTTTACCATTTTTCACTCGATTAATTGAATTTCCTCTTTGGTTTTCTTTCATTTTTAGGAATTAAAGGGGCAAAATGAAGCTGGTTTCGAAGAATATTGAGAGAGATGGGGGAGGGTAAGCAGTTAGCAATGAAAATATCGAGGGAATAGTTCATTTCATTGTTAAATTGAATTTTTATTCAATTTACAGAGTTGTGTCTCTGGTACCGGAGAACCCAGAGGACATGTGGCACGCTTATAACTTAATTTCTGAACAGGATTGTGTCAGTGCATCCACGATAAGGTATTTTTATAAATTAACAATCTAATTTCCTCGACTAATTGCTTCGAATTTTAATAGGAATAGAATTTCATGAATTAATAATTTTATGAATGAATGAATTTTATTTCCTTCTATATGGCTTATCGCCTTATACAGTATTAATAATTTTATTCACTTCATTAATCGCTGTCTCAAAAACTACTGGGCCGATTGAGCTGAAATTTTGCCCGGATGTGCTCTCAAACAATACCAATTATGAGCCAACATTTCAGATTTTTATCTATCACTTAAGTCCTTTTCTTGAAAATTTATAGAAAAATTCCCAGAACCAGTTTTTGAATTTCCTTCTCAATTAAAAAAAAGTTGGTAATATTTCAAAATGATGAAAAAATTTTTTAAATTCTTTCCCTCATCTTTTTAATCATTTACTACTTATTATTCTGAATCGAGAAAACTGCTCAAAAGAATTTCTCAATGTAAAAATTCTTCGTTTCAACCTTTTCAATGATTCATCAAAATAAATCCTAAATCATTTTATATAAAAAGGAGATGTCACACGTTTATTCCTAAATGTCTGAAGGAGAAATCGCATACATGATGATGATGGTGATGATGATGATACTGATTTTGGTGATAATATTGGTGTTGGTGATTTCCAACGGAGGTGTATTGATTCTCTACAGAAGTTTTCATGAATTTCGACGAATTTTTCAAGGTCTTTTAATAGAAGTTTCGATAGATTTCTATGAAAAATCCTTCGCTTTCTAACGCAAGTTGTCATGGCTTCCACTGTATCTCCTATTAATTCTCGATGGAAACTTTCATCCCTTTGCAGTAAAAAAAAATCATGGATTTTGAATAGAAGTTTTCATCTCCTCCCCCGAATTTTTCCTTAATAATACTATAAAAAATCGTATACATGAAAGAACATATTGATTCCAATCGACTTAAATCAGTAGCGAAGTGGTAAAAGGAGATAAGTCAATTTTGACTATTGACCAGTTTTCAATCAATATCTCGGAATCTAAGGGAGATAGCGAAATTTTTGTTATAACCTTTTTTGTGGAGCCGATCAAGTGCTACAACAAATGTAATTGCGAAAATTTCGCTGTCTCCCTTAGATTCCGAGATATTGATTGAAAACTGGTCAATAGTCAAAGTTGACTTATTTTCCACCAACTCCATGTACCCGAGGTCATTTAGATCAAAACCTTCATCACATACTATGGGATTGCCCCAAGTACGATGAACGGAAAGCACTCTGCAAAGTACTCAGAAAATTCAACAACAGGCCACTAGAAATTAACGAGATCCTGAGATCACTCACAAGAAAAAATATTACAAAATTTTCTAAGAAATGCAAAATGCAGATCTAAAACGAGTCCAACATCGAAATTAATCACAAAGTATATGCAATTACAACTTGAATACTGTACTTTATTGTGATAGCCAGCTGTAATTACTCTTGCTCTTTTTGTTGATAGCTGAATGAGCCCGAACATAGGGTTCAAAAGCGTTAATAAAAAAAAAAAGACTTATCTCCTTTTACCACTTCGCTACTGAAATAATGACGTGATGAATCATATAAAATCCATCAAATTGTCAGGCACGCGGAGCGCGCCTTCGATCTTGTTGACACAAAAAGAATGGAAGAGTCTAAATAATTTTCATAATTTGAATTTTCATCCAGAAAAGTTCAAACAGAAAGTGCAACAGGCAGTACAAACAGCCAGAGAGTGCGAACAACCCTGACGATTTCAGTGGAGACAATTGACTTCGATACCCAGGCATGTGTCCTGAGGCTGAAGGGAAGGAACATCGTGGAGAATCAATACGTGAAGATGGGGGCTTACCACACCCTGGACCTCGAGCTCAACCGCAAGTTCGTCCTGAAGAAGGTCAAATGGGACTCAGTGGCCCTCGACAGGATAGACATGGCTTGCGATCCCACCCAACATGCGGATGTAGCTGCAGTGGTGATGCAAGAGGGTATAGCCCACATCTGCCTGATTACCTCTAATATGACGATTGTTCGGGCAAAAATCGATCAGCCCATCCCCAGGAAACGAAAGGGCTTCATTTCCCAACATGAGAAGGTATTCAGTGAAAAAAATCAGTAAAAAATCGATCCCAAGTGGTCCACGATGATAAAAACGATTAATTCATTCTATTGCATATGAATAGAACTGCATTAAATGATAATTTTGTCGATATAAAATTATCAATGAAGTTTTATGAAGAAGAAAAATATTTCTGAATTCTTTCTTTCAATCTTTCGATGATTTACTATTTATTTTCCTGAATCATCAAGAAGATTGAAGGACAGCCAAAATCGATCAGGCCATCTCCAGGAAACGAAAGGGCTTTATTTTCCAACATGAGTATTCAGTCAAAAAAATCAGTACAAAATCGATCCCAAGTAGTCCACGATGATAAAAATGATTAATGAATTCTATTGCCTATGAATAGAACTGTATTAATGAATAATTTTGTCAATATAAAATTATCAATGTGGTTTTATTATGTTTAATATAATTCATTAACAGAAAAAAAAATATCTCGGAATTCTTTCTTTCAATCTTTCAATGATTTACTATTTATTTTGCTGAATCATTAAAATTTGTTAAATCAATTCCTTAATTTTTAACTTCCCGATCTATCGGGTAGTTATTGTTTCATTCTTTCTATTACTTGATAAATTTATTGATATAAAATTATCAATGTAGTTTTATTCTATTGGATATAATTCATTAATGAAAGCAGAAAGATATTTCTAAATTCTTTCTTTCAATCTTTCTGATGATTTAATGTTGATTCTTGCAGGGTTTAACTAGATTTTACGAGAGTATAGTTCAAGGAATTCTTCGACACGTGAACTTTGAAATTGTTAAATGCGTAATAATCGCAAGTCCCGGGTTCGTCAAGGATCAGTTCTTCGAATATATGATGGAGCAAGCCAGTAAAACAGACAACAAAACTCTGATTGAAAATAAGAGCAAATTTATGCTTGTGCACGCTAGTTCTGGATTTAAACACTCTCTCAAAGGTAAATTCCAGTCTGAAATATTTTCTCCAACCCTATGGAATGAATTGATGAATTTATTCCAGTAATCAATCTTTTTTTATGAATTTTTGCAGAAGTTCTGGCTGATCCAACGGTTGTAGCCAGAATATCGGATACAAAAGCAGCAAGCGAAGTGAAAATATTCGAACAATTCTACTCTATACTTCAGACTGACCCTTCCAGGGCTTTTTACGGAAAAAAACATGTTAAAATGGCGGCTGAGGCACAGGCCATTGAAGTTCTTCTCATTTCTGATAAATTATTCAGGTTAATTCCATATAATAAAATTTAATTCATTTATATTTTTATTTCAACTGATTTGATTTATTTTATTTTTAATTTCATTTATTTTTGCTTTAACTAGTCGGATTAGTTCAATTGAATTTTTTTTTATTCAACTTTTCCCTCTTCATAAAATTTGTTCATCACTCGCTCAATATTATTTCATATTTTTGAAAATTGAAGAGTTGATCTGCGATGTCTTACGAATGAATTTTATTCCTAGATGTCAAGACATTCAAACCCGAAAAGAATACGTGGAAATAGTGGAGAGTGTCAAGGATGCTGGTGGAGATATCAAGATATTCTCTAGTATGCACGTGTCAGGAGAACGTAAGTCCACAATTCAATCAATTCTCCCCCAAAAAAAAACATAATTAAAAGACTTTTAAATTGAACGATAATTAAAAACGTTTAATTAACATTTACAAAATTGTGTTAATTGAACAACTTGCATTAATCATCGAATTCTAATGATTAAAGAATATAAAAATAATTATCATTTAATTTAACATTTTAATGTAATTTTTTTTTTTTAATTTAATAGTCTAATATTCTTGAAATTCTCTCATTTTTCTTATGAATATTTTGAGACAGCTTTAGAACACAATACAAAAAATAGAACAAGGAGAATATCTTTATAACCAGTGATTTTAATAAAAATAATGTCTTCAGAATTTTTCCTCCTAAAGTTAACATCTTTAAATTGTGTCCACTCACCCCTTTGATTCTCCATATTTATAAACAAATCAAATTAATCATAGAAGCCATGACTAAAGAATATTAAAAATCCCAGAAGTCTCTCTCACTTGAAGGAAACGACAACTAAAAATCTTTCTCTCTGATTTTTAAATGCAGAACTAGACCAAGTAACGGGCATCGCTGCTATCCTGCGTTTCCCAATGCCCGAATTAGAAGATGAAACTGATGGTGAGAACGAAGACTCTGACGACGATTGATAATTGTTCATAGAATAAATAAAATTTCGTTACTAAGTTATTATTAATTATTATCAAAAGTTTTTCAAACTTTTTTAACGTGAAGTAAATACCTTGACGAACACTGGATGTCTCCACATTATTAATTATTGTAATTATATTAATTATATAATTACATTCCCTTTGGAGATGATTTTTTCATGGAAATGACTTCTGTTTCTGGACTGGAGAGGGAGATTGCTCGAGGATCCAGAGGGCGAGGGGTTTGTTAGCAGTGAGAATAGCTGATTCTAGGAATAATGAATACCACTTGTCTGATCGATCTAGAAAACATCCTGAAAAGTACGAAAAATCGTTGTTAAAATTTAATTTTTTAAAGAATTCTTGAAATTATCAATATTTGAGAACAAATTTTCTATTTCACAATAAAATTACTGAATTAATCAATTCATTTGATGAAACCTACTGAATATTTTAACAGAAAAAGAGTTACTAATGATGAATTAACATTCATGCATTGAAATTATCATTTTGTAAATAAAAAATTTGTCCTAAAGGATGGGTAATTAATTAATTTTCAATTGTTAATTTTTCATTACCTGCTCCCTGCAAAATCTTGAGGCTCGAGAAATCCGTTGTGCTTGGATTCTGCAGGTACGAACGAATCAACAGGCAGAGAGCATTCTCTTTGCTGGATGTCGTGATGGAACAATCAGCGCCTCAAATTAATTAATTTTATGAATTTTTATTTTCAAAATGAAAATGAATGAGAACTGACAAAAATACTATTTGAAAATTTCGAATACACAGGAGTTTTTCCAACTGAATTTCCAGAGTTTATTTACCATGACCCAGCATAAAAGAGATGAGACACGAGTTTCTGTGGCAGCAAACTCGATGAAAAGGTGTCAATCCACTGATGGGGCACCTCACATTGACCAGGGATGGATATTTAGACACAATATCGATACATTGAACCATGTACTCCTTCTGATAGCACCTCTGAAACAAAAAGAACATTGAGAACTTCATGTCAAACAATAAGAAAACAAAAGGAATTCTGGAAAATAATCAATCTTCGTTTACTGCAGCAGCTGTGTGCAACTCTCGTGCACTCCTCCTGTAATCCACCATGATTCTATTCTTCTGATCATCCTTTCCATATTCTGATTTCAGAATTTTCGAAATTCTGTCATTTATCTTGCGATTGTTTCTAGAGAACTCTGGAATATAATAAAAAATGGAAAATATCTGAGAGAAATTTGTGAAGAGTAACCATCAATATTTTTAAAATTAGTTTTTAAATTTATTATTATGTTTTCATTTTATTTTTTAAAATATTTTTTAAAAGAAATTTTAGAAGACTTCACCCGCTGAGGCGAATAAGCTTTCAATTTTTTTATTCACCCCTCTTAAATTCTCCATTTTCACAGAGAAATTTACTTAATGATTGAATTCTGATTATTTAAAAAATATTTAAACATACCAGAAGTCTCTTTCATTCGAAGAAGGATTGTAGAAACAATGCTGATGACGACGAAAGTTGCCCAGACGACAGCAACATGTCTAACATCGAAATCGATAAGATATTTACTAATGAATCGTAAAAAACTGACGAAAGAGTTGGCAAACTCGTCAACACTCATTTTTCTGGAAACAATTGTCAATTATTCAACAAATAGTACATTAGAGTACAAGGGCACAAATTTCGTTTTCAACGAATGTGTAGTTTACAGGCCGAGCCGAAGGCGAGGTTTGTACAGACATTCGTTGAAAACGAAATTTATTACCGAGTGCTCTATAATATTTTATGTCAAGTCGTGCAGAAGTCGAGTTCTGAGCAGGCTGCGCGAAGCGCAGCGTGCGATGAACTCGACTTATTGCACGGCGCGACATAAAATGTTTAATATTTATCTTCAACTTGTCTAAAAATTGTTAAAATCTTTTGCATCTTAAATTGGCTTCCTAGACCGTCAACTAATAATTATTTGCAACAAATTCGTCAATTTGTTTCCTTCGATCTTTTCTAATTATCTTCAACACACTCGTCAATATATCTTCTTCGATCTTCAAAATCTTTCCTACTTATTCTCAATCTTATCTTCCTACATTGTCGACAAAAGCTTCACAAATTATCTGAATCGTCAATAACCAAGAATCTTCAACAATTATCTTCAACTTAATCTTCAAACAATCATTACTTCTAACAAACGTGTCAATTTGTCTTGCCAAATCATCAGAATCTTGAAGGAATTTGAAGAAACTTTTGTTAAAATCTTCAGCAATTATCTTTTTAAATCATCAACAACGAAAAATCCTCACCTCTTCAATTATCACTTCGTCTTCCCAAATCGTCCAAACTCAACTCTCCTCTCTTCCAACTCGTCTCTCCACCCCAATTTCCCTCCAAAACCCCTTCAAACACAAAAACAAAAACAGTCAAGTGTCGCCATCTCTTATCCTGTGGATAAAACCGCATGACCAGAGGTCACTACCCCCTCACAACCCAGCAGTTAAGGACAGTTCCGTGGAATTTTCGTGTCGTCCTGGTACCCCTAGTCCTTCTTGTACGCATTTTCGTCCTTTTCACCGCTCTTACATCCCTCAAAACCCGAAAAAAGTCCCTCGCACCCCCAAAAATCTCGGAATCATCCCCGAATAAATTTTCCCACCGCATCAACAATCCAAGTGTTTGCCTCTGAGTTCCGGTTCATACGTTCAATCACTCTCTCTCGCTCCCACCATTTTTTCCACTCTAAAAATTCCATTCACTTTCTATTTTCCTTGTTTACGAAACTATTCCGCTGATTTTAGCCCTATTTTGTGTTTTTTATTCTGTGAACAATGGGTTTTCTCTTTGGAAACTGGAAATTCGGGGGAAAAAAATGAGTGAAAAAAACGCCCAGTGAAAAAAGTCGATCTAGTGGTGGAAAAAACATTTTTATACGAGTGAAAAAAAAAACCGGAGTCTTTTTGGGCCCGAAATCATGACGATTATCGACGATTCTTTGTTACAAAGTATCTGAGGTAATTTTAATTTTTTTTTTCGAGTGACAAAAGTGGGAAATTTTGGGTTTTTTGAATATTTGCGGGGAAAACGGGGGTTTTGTCGGTGTTTTTGGAATGGGGAACCCCCGGAGGGACTGGCGGTCTCGCTCAGGGGTGTTTGGTGGGCTGTTGAGGGGGCGGAGCCCCCCGGGTGGAGGGGGATTCTTGAATTTTTGGGGGTTCGGGGCTTTTCGGGGTTCTGGTAAATAAAAAGTGGGAACATAACCTCTCTTCTCGGGGCTCGAGGGGTTACCGACGGGGAGAATTGTCGATAAGGCTGGAAAATTCGGCAGGTCGATAAAATTGTCTTGAGATTATTTCAAGGGTTTTCGTTTTGAGGTTTAGGGGGGGTTGAAAGGGTCACTCGAGGGGAATTGAAATTTTGATTATGTTTTGAAATTTTAAGGGTTGAGTTCACGAGCCCTTTCTTTGTGCCCTTTTTCGTGTTAGTTTCGATATTCGCAATTTTTTTCAATTAGATTATTGAAAATGTTTTGAAAAATTTTTGAGCATCCATTTTACCCCAGATGTTCATATTGCCCAATGAAACCATTTTCAAAAATTTCAATTGTGAACATTTTTTTTTCGCAAATTTTTTGAGTATCCATTTTACCCCAGTCGTCCATATTGCCTCACTCCCCCCCCCCTTCTACTTTTGGAAAATAATCTGGTATTTACCAGACAATTTGACTCTTAAGGGTCGTCTGACCCTTCCGGAAAACGTTTGACCCGTAAGATTCGTTCGACTTTTCTGGCGAACGTTTGAACCTCAAGACCATTTAACCCTCAAGGATCGTTTGACCCTTCCGGCACCCGTCTAAATCTCAAGATTCGTCTGACCCTTCAGACAAACGTTTTACCCTCAAGACCATTTGATCCACAAAAATCGTTTGGCCCTTTCGGCAAATAACGTTTGACCATTTGACCCGTAAGGGTCGTTTGACTTTCCTGGCGAACGTTGGACCCTCAAGATCCTTTAACTCTTAAAGGTCGTCTGATCCTTCTGGCAAACGTTCGATCCTTAAGGGTCATTCGATCTTTCCGGCAAACCTTTGACCCTTAAGGTCCTTTGACCTTTCCGACCATCTGACCCTTGACGAAAATTAAGAAAAAAAAGATTTCTAAATTGTACTAAATAGTCGTCCCACCTCTGACAAATAAAAAATTTTCAGGTGTAATAAAACAGGTTTTTCGGTCATCAGCGATGAACAGGAATGTCGGATAACCCAATGACCATTAATTCCGAGGACGGAGACGCCTCAGTCTCTGTCTCGCCCCAAAAACCGAGCGATCTCGATTCCCACAAGGACAATCAAGAGATTCCCAATCTCCAAGAACCGATTCCGGATCCCCCGGAATCCAAGGAACAACCGGAAACGCCGAAAAATCCCGCATTACCCCCGGACCATGAAAAATCGCCGGAGAAAAATGCGCCGTGCGAAAGAATCGCGGGTGGGAGTGAGGGTGAGGAACCGGAAGTGGGGATTGTGGGACCGGCGTCGGCTGCTGGTGACGTTCTCAATGATGAAGAGCTTCTTGATGCACCTGTGAAGGACTCGGTCGCTGAATGGATCGAAAAATCAGCCAAGGAAAATGACATGTCTAACAATGGGGGGAAAAATGGAGCCAAGGATGGTGTCTCACTTCCGCCAACTCGGAAGTCACAGAGAATTGTTACCAACATCATTAAGAGGAGTATTAAATGGTGAGGAATTATGATCATGATGGTTTGGGGAGTTGATTGATATAATTGTGACGATTCAAATAGTTGATTTTTAAAAAATTCAATTGACTTAATTAATATATATAATTTCATTATTATTTTTTTTTACTCGCAAATGAGATCGCTGAACGATCCTCGAGGGCTCCGACTTCACCTTGAAGACCGCCCAGCAAACTAAGCTAAATTAATAATAATAATAATAATAATAATAATAATAATAATAATAATTAATATTAATAATAATAATTATTAGTATTATTATTATTGGTTAATTCGATGGACTGGAAAAAAAATTGTCTAAATTTTTTTTGCAAAAGTCCATCAAATGGACTTTTTTATGCAGAAATTTTTGAATTTTGAATTTTTTGCGTGAAGAAGAGACAGATACATGAGTTGAGAAAATAACACTGGAGGTTATATTTCTACTTGATTTCTTTCCCCCCATGTGAATTCAATTTCATCAATTAATTTGTTTTATTGAGATTGGGATTGGAGAGGAATTCAATTGTTGATTCGTGTGCTATTTGTGATTTTTATTGTCTAAAAGGCGATTGAAATGTGGAGGAATGGGAGTTTGGTGGTGAAGTGGTTGGGCGATTTTTAGAACTACAAGAACGGTCGAATAGAAATTTCGCGGTATTGGATTCAGAGGTGTTCATCGTAAACTGGAGTGATGAAATGAAATGAGTGAATTTTGCTTGGAGTTCCGTTTCTGGGGAATATCTGGCGATCGAAGGGAGAGACACTGAGAAAAAAATGTTTCAAAAATTAGTGTGCTACTCATCAATGCTGGGACATAACAGGTCATCGAAAAATTCGAATGTGGCACCCCAATTTTTAGAGGGACTTGCGCCACTACTTCGCGCGATGCCCGTAAAACTTAGGGTGCCACATACGAATTTTCTGGTGACCTCCTGTTATGTCCCAGCATTAGTGAGTAGCACACTAATTTTTGGAGGGACTCTCACGGAATTATGGTGTATTTTTCTCTCCGTGTAGCGAAATTTTCATTAAGGACCATTTTTGTTGCTATCATTACGCTCAACAAAAAAGGTCTTCACAAGAATTTCCCTAGTTTCCTTAGATTTTGAGATATTTATCAAAAACTAATCGACGACTTATAAATCTGATTTTTCTTGTTACATTTTAGTTTTCGATGAATGTCTTGGAATCTAGGGGAGATAGGGGAATTCTTGCGAGAATACTTTGTTACCTCCCCTCAATCCCAAGATATTCATCAAAAGCTTCTGCTAAATTTCCATTTCTTCTCGTTACTCAACTTTGTTTGAATTTATTTAACAGATGAAAACGTTCAAAAAGATTTTTCGTAAAAAAAAATCGAAGAATTCCCCATCAATAAGCAATCATGAGATGAAAACCATCATCCGAAAAGACCTCTCCCAAAAAAAGGAAACAAAAATTGTTTAGTCTTTGGGGATGTATTTTAAGCCCTCGAGGCACGTCTGGTTGCCACATCCCTCCGTTTTTCCCCCCTTATTCGCCTCATAATCCAGAAGAGAAGAGAGCGGTACCATAGAAACGGTACCGTTGGCCCAGGGTTGGTCGTTAACGCATCCCGTCCACTCACATTGCCTACACGAATTCTCCCCCTCTCCCCCCCCCCTCTCTCTCCTCTCTCTCT